GGAATCACGCCCCACTGCTGCTGGGACGCGCGCTATGAATTTCGTGACAGACGGACGTACGTACAGACGGACACACACACACACAGACAGACATACTTAGCGAATTATATATAGTAGGATCACTCCATCCAATTAATGGCTAGCTTACAGTTGAAGTCCCGTCATAATCGCTTCATTCTGACAATGAGGCTTTTGTGTGATTTTTTCAATGAATTCATTGGTGAGTGGGTTGCTGGGAATTGTGATTTTGACTGAGTAAAGCCCTTGCCAACCTGCAGCTCTCGCACTGTTGCTACGGTCCACGAACCCTATGTCCAAATCTCGGAAGCTGCTCAGCCGTCGCAGGCTAATTATGATTTGAAGCTCCTTCGAGCAATGACTGATCATAAGTTTATGGAGTCCAAGTGCCAGTAATGCTGTCAGCTACACGCTGCGGTAACTTTCTGTTCATGAGCTTCAACGCGCGTGCCCGAAAATTGCGTGGATTTCGTTGGAGTGGACTTAATTGAACCCCTTGAAATTCCTTGTTCCCTGGAAACTTCTCCTCTAATATCTCTAATCTCTAATAGATGGCGGTTTGAGCTAGCAAGGCACGGATTGAATTGGTGTACTATTTTGTTCAATAATTAGAAGTGCAATGAGGAACATTAGTGAGGAGAAAAAGCAAAAAGCGCCATAGAAAACACTAAATTTCCTTTGGAGGTCGGCCGTGGTATGACGGAGAGACACAGCGCTGCGAGGAGAGGGAAAACGCGAAAATTCACGTCGTACGCGAGAGGATGCCGCGGTTGAAAAGAATGAAAACGGTCGCAGAGAGTAAGCTAACAAGGGGGGTCTTTCAGGGCAAGCCGCGCTTTTTGGAAACGGTTTCTTGCATATTGTAGGGACGCATGTATGGACCACAAAACCATGTTTCGTTTTCGCTGAACGGTTTTTTAGTAGTAAAAAAGTGGTGAATGATACCCTTGATGGTTCGATCCCCCGCGGCGACTAAATTTTGCAATCAAGGTTGGCGGCCACTTGTTGGCTTCAAAATGGTCCTGACGATGAATATGACATCTGATTTTGACATTTAGCGCGATTTGGCACCAACCGTAGGCGCCAACCCAAATGCAAAATTTAGTCGCCACGGGGATCGAACCATTAACAGTACCTTATGCTTCTTTTTTGGTACTGCTATAACCGTTCAGCGAAAATGAAACATGGTTTTGTGTTCCCTACATGCGTCCCTACAATATGCAGAAACCGTTTTGAAAAAGCGTGGCTTGCCCTGAAAGACCTCCCTTGTAAGGTATTGGCACTTCCTGTCGCGCATTTTCAAATCGCGACAGTATCACCTTCCCTTAACTATGGATGCTACTATCTCGCAAGGAGATTCCTCTAGATTTCGATGGTTGACGCTATTGTGCCATTTTGTGTCTGCCTACCAAAGGCGCAATTTTGTGCTGATTTTGTATAATCGCAGTTGCGAAAATGCTCCACTACTTATTTAGACGATATTCAGGCGATGACCTCAATAAGAAGTCTCGACTTATTCGTCCATTGCTCATTTTCTGCGTCAATGCCGACTTCATGGGTGTTGGAGGGTCGGCAGAAGAACTCGTGCTCTAAATTGAAAAACCTCACTCATTTTTCTTTGCATATCGACGGCTTTTGTGTGGTAGGTTTAATTATCATAGGAACTCTCTCTAAGTGAGGCCATTAGCAAACACGATGGTTTCAGTTCAACGACCTCGATTGCCATTTGCCACCATCGCTTACATGTGTCTCAGTATCGGTATCCCTTCCTGTTATTGGAGCTCGACGATCTTTATCTTCGTTAATGGACCTCGTGAAGCGGCTGGCGAATGTTAACGCTTATCCAGACCTGGAGGAACTTCATCTGCAGGTATAGATAACTCCTTATTTACATTTGTGAGTAGGGTTCCCATGTAGCACTTGTGAGGTGTAGCCTAGAGTATTTTGTTCTTTTTTTGGGATTCGTTTTGATGGCTCGAAATTAGAAAAAGGTTCACAATTGCTCTGATTTGTGAAGAGAATCGTGCTAGCGTGTCCGTGAACAGAGACTGCTGGCGCTATCTCTATATACAGTGTATCATATAGGACTAATCCTAGGAAGGGACAGGAACAGGTAAAATTGAAAATTGTTTACGCATCCGGGAGTTCCCCTCCCTCGCCTAAGCGTGATTCCAATCTTAGCAATGGTGATGTTTTATGAGGGTTCGAATGCATTGCCACCGCAATGCCTCTGTATCTTGCAATAGCGCCGGGCTGCTATTGCGGTTGCTTTATTGCAACTGTATTAGCAGCGCACCGGGGATGTCTTTGCAGTATGGTGTGCTCCCTCTTCCTCTTCCTACCCTGAAGTGTAGGTAGGTGAGAGTAAAAGTGATCGCCACAAGCGTCTAGGTAACAGATTCGCTGAGTACTGAGTATCAGAAGGTGAACACAATGTCACTCGATTAGTTGCTACACGGGCTATATTATAGCATGTATCTAGGAGCTATTATATTTTTAAATGGGTGCGCTTTTTAGCCATGTTTTCAATGGTAAATTCCATGATGAAATCAAGCGGATTAATTCCTCTCATGATTAGAATACAGTTATCACAAATGTGAAAGGTACGAAGTTGAGGGTGCTTTGTAATGGATCCGCTCTCTATTCGCAGCATGGAGCGGATTTGGGCGCGCTTATGTGTAAGTAGGGAGCGGTGGAGCGGAAGGGAAGGGTTTAGTAGCGGTCTCTTCCCACGTTCTGTCTGTCCCATTGTCTCTTTTGCCACACAGTGTCTCTCAAAGGAATTTTCGTCTCTTGGCGGCAGAGGAACATTACAACACTGCGGTTGCATTAAATACTAGCGTCACCGTAGATTTTTTCTGTCTTCCAAAGTTGCTGTGCATTTTGGGAAAATGCCGCTATTACCAAATAGTTTCCCCATTAACGAAAAACCTTGACACTGATTTCTGGAGAAATCTCGATTCAGAATTATTAAAATATCTTCCTTAGAACGTATTTTCACCGTTTCGCAAATATGACTACACATCACTTGTCGAAGGAGATTTTACTATAACGAAAAAACGTCACGAATTTTCAATAATGGGATGGACCCCCAATAATCATTAAGGAACACAATAATACGTTTTGAAATGCTGGTAGCCAGATTAGCTATTACAGTAGGATCGAAATTCGTCTGGGCGCCGATGATCGACTTTTCAGCTTTTCGGCTGTTCCATTTTGCTTTTTAATTTTTGCTGTGGAAGGCTTTATAAAACAGTTTGAAAAAGCTTATGCATTCTTCATTGGAAAATTGATTTCAGATAAAACATGGTGGATCACCAGGAACAGCTCTAGCCACATTTTTTTCTGCTAAATTCCATTCTGCGCGAAGGGGACGCAAAGCGACAAGCCGCTTGTTATCGTGTTGTGAAAATCAAGGATTTATAGAGGTGGGCATTCCTTGGTGAAAGAATGCGTTTGAGGGACTCGCTTCGAAAGGAACTTCACGATACCCTGTGGAATCTTTGTGAACGGAAACAAAAGCGAGCTCTAGCTACTCAGTCGTTCAAAGGTGCCTCAAACCATAAGGGATTCACCGCCGAAATTACGTTACATTGAAACCATCTGCGATTTTCACGCGATCATCATTCCTCTACCCTCTTTTTCTGCCATATGTTCACTAGGGAAATTAATAAACTTTTCCACGTCGATCTCAGACCACCTGTAGAACGAAACAAGGAGGTAGAGTCCAAGATCGCGAAGGGTCTTAACAGCCACACCATCGCTCATTAAGTTGAGCCCTTTTCCACGGAGAAATGGAGACTTGCGATCTTGTAGCGCTCAAATAATCTTGGAACGCTCTTCATCAATCCGTTGAAGATGTTATTGCTCTGCTGGCTTACTCACCACACGGTGGTTTTGCTCACGGAAGGCCGCATTTCAGTACGGACTTTGTTCGGACTCCTTGTATAATTCGAGAGAAGACACCCAATTCCTCCTAAATTTTGAAGGAAACGCAGTCTTTATTTACCTAAGCGACTCTTCTCTCCGCACTGACCAGGATTTTGCACATAGTCGCTTATGCAGTATGAGCCGGCCGACATGGGAGGAAATTCTGCTCCTCAGCTATCCCACTTCAGTAAGTGCTCTAGCTTGAGCTTGTTACTGGGAAGAGAGGCGAATAACACGAGGTATGGTAAACTCGATGTCGACTGAGCCCACATATTTCCCCGCTTCCCTGATTCCCTTCACGGATCGTGAGAAATGGAAACTTTTTATGAGTGGCCCGATATTCATGAAACGGTGAAAATTCGTTCTGAAAAAGTTAATTGGGTTACTTGAGGGGGGAACTTTGTCAGAAAAACACTATGAAGGTTTTCCGTGATGAGGAATCTAATGGTGATAGCAGCATTTCCAAAAAATGCACAGCAACTTTGGGGTAGCAAAAATTTAGGGTGGACCTATAATTATGAAACGCAGTGTATACACCATCCGATCCTTTTTTGTACTTTTCTGGATGGTAGACATGTTCACGAGGAAGAGGGGGCATCTGAGGATTTTTTTCAGCTTCTTTTCCTCTTCCCTTCTCCTGCAGTCAACTTCGCAACACCTTTTTCATTTTCCAGTGGATTACCTGCTTTGAATTGTTCCTGAATCAGCCTCCTAAATAGTTTAGTTCAAGTTATTTCCTGAGGAACTATGGGGAACATATATATAAAAGTAGTGCGACTTGCCTGATAATGGGACCTGAACCTGTCCTTTCCCTATGTCCGCGTGTGTCAGTTGCGGCTAAGTTTGTGAATCCTTTTCTCTTTCTGTCTATAGGTTCTTTGATGGTTGAGGTCTTGGAATAACGGCGAATCCCACTGCACATCGTCAACAGGAATTTTCTAAATACCTCCTTCTTTAGTTAACAAAGCCACAATATTCTGTTTGTAAAAACAGACTGTAATGAGATATTTCCATCAATCTTATTTACAACGTGTTCTTCTTTATAGGTGTGGGGAATTCGATGCGCTGAACAGCTGCTGAATCACGTTGCTGACCATCTCTCAGATGTTCGGCGGCTAAGCATAATAGCCATGCCTTTGTCAGAGCAGCGAGATCGTCTCATTGATCTCATTCGTCACGTTGCTTCATCCTGCCCTCGTCTCGTTTCTCTCCAGCTCAGCGTGGAAATGATGCTGATTCTCGTCAAGGAATATGGAGGTACTACCATT